CCTTTTCTTATGGGTTCAAATTTCAACTAAAAAACACCAAGTTTTCAAACTTCAATCTTGCTTAATATCAATTTAGTTCATCAAAAACTATCATAATCTAATATTTTTTAGTGGTGGGATAAGTTAGAAATAGGTGAGAAAAGATGGAATTAAAGTGGGAGGGTTATGGTTTGAGAGGAAGAGCAAGAAGAAGGAAGAAGGATGGGGAAAATTACTAATCTTGTTTTTTCCATCCCTTTAAAACAAAAGCCCCCCCTCCCCTTTTTTTCAATTTTTTTAACCTTAAAACTCACTTTTACACTTCCATTCAAGGCTCACAATTTTTATTACTTTGGTCCATCTCATTTAATAAATTTAATCAAACTTAACTAACTCCAATTACTTCATTTTTTCCTAATCTCTAAACATATTTAATCTAAATTATCTCACATAATAAAAAATAAAATTAAAAGACATCAATTATATGCATAAATAAGAATGAAATTAAGACATACCCGCAAGCATACATATGCATAATATGAAGAAGTAAATTCGGATGTTACATCTAATCTAGTGATTCTAGCTTTTGTTATGTTATTTTTTTTTTCAAAAATTCATATGAGTCATTTTTGGCAAACAAAAGTTCAACTTAAATCATTAGTCATAAATTATTTATGAAACACAATTATTGAATTATTATTGAGAGTTAAAAGTTAATTTTCAAACATTGATTATTAGGATATCTATGAATTTGTTTTATAAAATGTGAGACAAATAGTTTCTTGTAATGACTAAAAAAAGACATTGAGAGTCATGGTTGGTATAATGAAAATTTTTAAACGAAGTCAACATGAATACATAATTACCATCAATGCTATTTTCTATTTGTGTTGATTTCGTTAATAATTACATGTTATACCAATCATTACTCGGACATTACTGACCGTGATGAATGTTGTGATAACAGCATATCTGATTAAGTAAGTTACTCTTTGTTATAATACAAATTGGGATAAAACAAGTGTCGGTAGAAGATTGGTGAATTGGAAAATTTTCAATTTTAATGTTCTAGCCAAGTTAAATATATGGAGAATCATACATATATTAGCAAATTATAAGTAATTGTTACATTGGTTTATGGATTGTATATCATGCAAACAACTCTGTGATGGTAGGATTGATTTGGGAAAATAATATAACTTTTCTTTCGATATTTTCTTCTTTCTTTTCCTTTACTTTATACAAAATCCATTTTTGTATTGCATTAGTATTTTCTTTAAAACTTCATTTATATCATCTAAACACTCCATTTTTCAAATTGAATCATATCAATTGGTAATTGAGCATCGATTTTCACATGTGGAAAATTCAATTTGGTATTAATAGTAGAAACTTTGACTATGTATTTCACTATTTATGAGTTGAATGAAGGGAGTTAAATCCATGGCTTTTGTTTTTGATGTAACGGTATCCATGATGGAGAATTCAATTGTAAGATGGACCTAAATCATTGTAATTGATGATGTTAGTAGAGCAATCCTCTTCTTTTTAGAAAATAAAAAGAAGATACAAGACCTTCCAAATGAAAATAAGTTACTAACCAAGATTGAACCGATAAGAAACAACAATCCAAGAATTAAAACTAATATTTCGGATATTGAAGAATCAAGTTGGATTGAATGAAATTCTCTTATAACAATTGTTGATTTGATTAATTGAGTGAGTTTTGATCCAACACCATATAAAATCGATCATTGCTTTGACTTATTTATTAAAAAACAAAACTTGAATGGACTTTCTTTGGCAACTAATTGCATTACAAAAAAACTACAAGATTGAAAGGATTTCATTGTGTAATTAGTATAGCCATAGAATTAGTTACACTATGGGCTGAAACATAATTTTTTTTTGTTGAAAATTTGCCCATTTTTCAAGAAATTATATACGAATTATACAAAATTTTATATCTTGGTTCTTAATGTTTCCAAAAATTTTATTTTGATCTATAACTTCATTTGTCACACTTTAGCCCCTATATGCAAAGTTGAGAGGGAAACAAAGAGAGAGAAAGAAGGAGGGAGAGAGAGTGCCGATTAGGCTTATTCCACCACTTTGGCTAGCAATATTTCATTTAATTTATTTACTTTAGAGAGTAGAGTTTGTTTATTATGGTTTTAAAGTATAAAATAATTAGAGGAGATAGATCGAGATCTTAAAATATTATGAGTAATTGAATTGAATTTAGTTTTTTTTTTTGTATGTGCATTGTAATCAACTTGAAGGTTTCAAACATGTTTCTTCATCCCATTTCGGTATTTTTAAATTGTTTTGAAGTAAAAATGATGCATGGTTTGAGTTTTAGAGCTAAAAACTATAAAACCTCCTTTTTTGGATAACTTTCCAATGAGCTCGAAGTGTTCTCTCTCTCTCTCTCTCTCTCTCTCTCTCTCTCTCTCTCATATTGGTAAACTAGGCATACTTCGTAGGCTTAAAGTGCCCCTAGAGGCATAAGCTTGCTTTTACAAGCCTAAGGTGCGAGGCTTGGGTTGGTTTTTTTTTTTTTTTTTTCCTTTCTTTTGTATTAATTTTTTTTGCTAAATTTATGAAAAACTAATTTTTTTTTCATGTAGCCTAGCGATGGAAAAAAATATGATTTCTTTAATTTATCATTTTTGCTTTCAAAATTTAAGATTTTATTTGTTTATCATTTCTTATGGAAACATCCAATTAATTTCTTAATTAATTTTTTATTTTATTTTATTTGTTAAAAAAATATGATTTATTTTCCTCCATATATGGGTTTTTGAATAAATTTTTAGAATGTGATTATTTTTTAAAATACATTAATATAATTTATATGATAAATTTTATAATTTTTAAATAAGAGTAATATATATATCATCGGTTTTGTTAGAAATTAACTATGCATTTATATGCATAAAAAATAGACATTTACATTAATTCTTTTCTTTAGGATATTTTAAATTTAGTTTTTTTTTTAAATAAAATAATTAAAATAATAATCTAAGACAATCATCCAATGATTCAAATATAATTTTCAATGCTATATTATTAATTATTTTGTGATTTAATATATATATATTAAATGCCCGTGCTCTAAAAAAATCTTCTAATATTAAGTTCTTTTTCTTAAAAAAAAATTCTAGATTCGATTTTCTATTTAGATTTTTGCGAGTTCTTATTTAAGAATCAATGAGTACAAAATAACAAATTATTATTTTTTTTTCGAGTTGAAAATTTTTGAAAAACATAAGGAATAATCAATTAAATACAAGATTTGGATTAAAAAATTATTAGATTTTTTTTTAAAAAAATTAACCTTTGATTCAATATATTTTAGTAGATCTCGCCTTATAACGTGGAGTATTAAATTGAAATAATTTAATTCTTCTCGACCGGAGCGTAACGGGAGTAACAAACTAAATCGGACTATGTAGTAGAAATTTAATTTAAAAATGCCTAAAAACTTTATTATCCCTTTAGAATAAATTTGTTGAAAGTTTTTGCTACAACATTGTCAAGACAATGTAGTGGATAAGGGTCAATTTGTTATTGATGCTATTGATAAAGCTAAACCGGACTATTTAATTGATGTCAAGAATCAACGATATTGTGATAATTATGGGGGTGGGTTTAAATTGCAGTATTGTGTGGAATGAATATTTGGATGGAGATATCACAACTAATGGTGTTGGAGTTGAAGATTCCTAGGGAGGAACCATTTGTTAGTGCCAAATAGTCTTTTTGAGCAATTTAGTGGGTTGCCATCAATTTGCTGGTATGTATGTTGAGGAAACGGAACCTACGGATGGGTCTAGTTGGTTTAAGAATTAAGAGGATGCTTGACAAGAAAGGGAGACTATTTATAGTTATGCATATGCACAAAAAAAGCATCAAATTTTTCATTTGAATTTATGAGCAGTGACAACCTTGTATTACCATTCAAATATGGGTTATAGTACATTTGATTGTGCAAGGCATTCCTTATCAGGCAATGAATCGCTACATTTGAAATATTTATTAAAAAATGACTGCTTGATTATGGAACTATATATGTGGAGGAATTGTATGGATAAAAATCATGGAAGTTGTTGAAAGAATCCAACATGGAGAATGATCTTTGGAAAATCGATTGTGGGTAAAGGATGGTTGTGACTTGTCCATATAGTCATGAAAAATTTCATATTCAAGGTGGCAAGCTTTGAGAAATTGAGTGTCAATATGAAATTATGTGATATATTTTGGTTGTTTAATTACCTTTCTCGCAAAAAACAACTGTTGTTTGTGTTTTGAAGATTGACAGTGACAAAAAAAGTAAGAAATTTTGATCTGCAAATGGTTATAGCTCTACAAGAACATAAGTTTATGAAGCAACCACCTCATCCTTTTGCTGGAAGCATTGAAATGTTTAAAAAATATTATGCGTTCCTGAAAATCTAATCACTAAAGTGGTTCTGAGAAATTATAAGATTAGTTAGAGTAAATTATAAATTAGTCTCTCTTGTGTTTAGAAATAAATTAATTAGTCTATCTAATTTTAAAAATTAATTATTTAGATCTTTTAATTAATGTTGATTACGATTAATTTAATATTTTTTGATTCATAAAAGGATTTTCGTTACGGTCGATCTTTTTAAATTTTTATTTCTTAAAATTTAAGATAAATTGAAAAATAATAAAAATAAATAAATAATTAGTTTTTCTGACTAATTTATTATTTACTCACATTTGTTATGATACGTGCATTGTTATTATTTATTTATTGAGGTACAAACGGAACTTCATAGTTTGGTAGCTAGACCCTCAAAAGTCACAACTGAAAAAAGAAGAAGTTATATTTCACAAAAGTCAAGCCCATTAACGGCCCTGCTCCAGCATCGCAAATGATTTGAACTAACAGAAGAAGAAACCCCGCAACAAAAATCAAATGAAACCAATTGACAGAGCAGCATGACCTTCCCCTACCTAGATTGATCCAACAGAGGAGGAAGAAGAAGAAGATGTCGACAGAGAGACACGGAAATCCCTCATCTACGTCTCGTGAAGAAAACGATTTGTAAGTTTTCAATTAATTAATATAATTATTATTGTATTTCCTTTAAATTGATAATCATCATTTTGTGTTGGGAAGGTTCTTAGATATACTGCAGGAGGCTCCTCTATTCGGTCACCGGAAATCCAGGAGTGTTTTTGGTGCTATTGTTTACTGTGTTGTACTGGCAAGTTTAACTTTTCTATCTACTATTTCCTCTTGAATAATTATAATTCATTCCATTGGATTTGGAAAATTATGTTTTTATTTTATTATAGGCAGGTTATGCTGTTTTGGCAGCCGGCGCTCCTTATGTGTTTCGTCCTATAAAGCATTTGGTTCCCTCATTGCTTTGCAGTTGCGATGTTGTTCTTCTAATACTCACAGGTCGATATATATTCCTGTATTTTCGAAAACTAAACTAGATAGGATGATGTTAAAGCAATGAGTTGATGTGCTCTACCAATTTGCTTATTGTGTGTGATTACCGACAATGTTGCATTTGCAATTGTTACACTAATCTTGGTTTCTACCACTAACAAACGAAAATGTGATTGATATGTTTGAGAGTAAATTCTTTTTAATGGATAGTTTCCCTTTCCAACACGGTTTTGTAGAGTTAATTTTTTTTTTCTGTTTTCTCTCCTCTTTCAGGCATCTTTCAACAATATTTCGTTTCTCAAGTTCAGAAAATACGGTTGCAGGTAATCTCCACTAACTGCCTAGTAAAAGTTATTTTTAATGACTTCTTTTTTACACTTTTCTAGTCCAGATAGCTTTTTGTTTATCGCATAAACCTTTTTCTGCTCTTATTGGAATTTCTTTTTAGAAGTGAAGACACAGTATATGTTGGTAACATCTGTTAGGTGTAAATTTTCTCCCAACCTAAATGTTGCTCTTTCAGATAACAAGTGGGAAACCTACAAGAAATGTTTGGTTGCTTTGACATCTGTGTTTCTTTTTGTAGCTGTTGGATTGTCAAATCGTGGGCTCTTATAAACACCATTTACCTGGTTTAGAAACCATTACAGTCTCTTATTTGTTTTGTAGGGTTATTACAGTTTCAGCCAGAAGTTGAAGCATATCGTTCGCTTACCTTTTGCCATTACTGCATATGGTAAGCGAATGATTTTAAGTTCTTTCCTTTTCTTCTCATATGTCTATCTATTTGATTGTGGTTTTTTCTTTCTCTATGAAACTACCCCATATTTCTCTATGTCTGGGGTTTCTGATGTCAGTGAGTCAGAAAATTAGTTCTTTTGTTAAAAATTGGATAATTGGTGAAGGTTAATATAATGATCATTCTATCATTTTCTCTAACTCTGAATTATTTTGACTAATTTTAGCTTTATATAAATCAGATGTTTTGCTATTTGTATCATCTATACAAATTAATTTATGTATATCTATTCTTTCATCTTATAATTTTCATTGTTATCATGGTAATGAATGTTTAGTCAAATTCTAGGAACTGCTACCATGCTGCTTGTCATGGTATGGAAACCTTACATCAGTATCCTTTCAGTCTCTACATTACTAAGGTACTGTCATTATCTGTTTTCACTGATGTGTATCTCAATTGTTTCATTTTCAAGATATTTCGTATTGCTGTTATGACATTGAGCCATGATTGTATTATTCATAAGCAACATCATATCTGATCTGTACTCTGATTAGGTAAAATGGAAATTCAGGATCCTGCTCTGTATTTGCTTTTTTCTAACTGTGTGATGTGAAAGTTCGTTTTTGTGCTCATTATATCTGCAGGATTATCATGTTGACTGAAGCAATATGTGCTGCTTCTTTTATGAGCGTCTATATTGGTGAGTCATATACATACTTTGGAGTGTTTTAACTTTTAGTAACATTATTTATGTGGCGTTGGGATAGTGGAAAAGTTCTTTTCACTAATTAAATCTCATAGGGTGCTTGTCAGACAACTCTTTCCCCATTCAGATCCATTGTGGAATGTTTGCACATGCTTAATCTATACGCATCCTCCCCAGGGTTTTGATATTGTGTAGCTATTCTCATAACTATTGAAACTTCAGTTTGAATAAACAAATGCTTTTGGAAATCATTAGGTCCATGGAGTATGCATGATGGCAAGAAGAATCCATTTCGAACATGTCTTAAGCTTTCCTATGAATAAGATCATCTGCGAAAGCTATCATATGACAGTACCAAGCGTAGGCAATAGAATTTTCTTTTGGAATGGAAATGTGGATAGTCATTGTATCTTTGCAAAGTCAAGATCTCTACTGTTCACACCTGTTTACTGAATCTAAACAATGTTCTATCGGAGATTATAAAATTTTCATCGCAACTCTTTTCTCAATGCTCTTCTGCATGCACTTGCAGGTTATTTACACCGGTACAATTCACTAAATTCTGAGCCTGATATTTTGAAGTCATTATATTCCCCACTTCAACAATCAAGTCCTTTAGAAGGTTTGAGGTAGTCATATTCTTATTTGTTATTCCAGATATCATTGCCTATGTCTCAAGCTTCCAGACTATATATATATATATATATTAAAAAAATGTAAAAAGAACGATGTTTTTCTTGTAAGATTATTTGGTGCCTTTGGAGCCATCCATATTTTCATTATTTTGATTTTGCCATTGCTGCAGTTGGTGCCATTTAGATAGAAATCACAATGCCCATGGATTAATTCATATAGAAACTCAAAGTTGAAAATACAATTTTTTTTTTTTTTTATATGTGAGAATAGATGATACTCCACTGAGGACCATTTGATTAAACAGGTATCATGATGGCAGTCGACTTTCTGATCAGCAAATGGCTTTGCTGCAATATCAGCGTGAGAACCTGCATTTCTTGAGTGAGGAGGTATGCTTAACTCAACTACGTGTCAGTCTAAAATTAGTTAGTGTTGGCTACCCTTTCTTTCCCATTCTGTTCTGTTAAAGGTTAAATATTTTGTAAGTTGTTTATGTATTAGAGCCCTTTTTTCCTCTTAAAGATATACAAGAGCCTTTATTGAGGAGGTTTTTTTTATTGTTAAAATCCGTGGTTGCACTGGTTGTATATAACTGCACTCTTGAGCTTGGTGGTGAAACCTATCATAGCATTAGTTTTTATGTCTCTGCTCTCTTAATGTTATTGGTTTTAACTATTACCCATTGTTTGGTTACTGAAAAGTTTGGGCAATGATCTTCTCTAATCAGCATAATTAGTTCATTTGTTGCCACCATTTTAACTGATTTTCTTTTGTTTTTTGGGTAAATTCTCATGAATACCTGTTCATGCAGGTTCTTAGATTGCAAGAGTGCTTAAGCAAATATGAACGCTCTGATGATGGGAGCACACCTCAGGTGATAATCATATTGCTAGAAGTTTAATTTCTTATTTGTGGATCTCATCCTTGTGAAATCACAAGGTAAAAGATGTAGAGGTTCATAATTGTAATTGCAGTTTTTCTAGCACTCAGGAACTAACTACTACTTTCACACATTGAAATTTGTAACATGGCTCATTGAGATTTAGATGATCTGAATGATCTTTATACAGCACAACCATATTTTACTGCATTTCAGTATGATCCTGAAAGGAGTGTACCTGTGGTTTGCATAAAAGTGGAATGGTTTTGAGAAATAATCAATAATGGTTGCTGGTTTCCATTTTTCCAGGTTGACCTTGCCCATCTGTTGGCAGCTCGTGAACAGGAATTACGGACACTTTCTGCTGAGGTATACATGATAAAATTCTGTGCTTTAGCATTCAATTTCTTAAATAACCAAAAAGAGAATTCAATTAAAATTTACACTATCACCTCACAGGTTTAAGAGGCATCTCTACGTAGACAATACTGCGTATAATTATTTATATGAGATCTTTAATTTGCCTTGTCTTCCTTGCTGTCATTGCTGCTACTACCTGCTTATGTATGCTGTGAATGGGTGCATTGTATTTGGGCATTATATCAAGTGCCTTGTTGTTAGTGTCGGATGACTTTAGCTCAATGAAGACATTTGATTGTTATTTTTATTGTGGATATGATAAGCATCAGGAGAATGTTGACATTTTCAAATTTAAGAGGAAATTATTTCACATGCAAAATCGATGAACTAGGAACCAATTGGTGAAAGCTTTATTTATCTTTTTTGTCAAAAGATGAAGATTTCTATGGAGTTTTGTAAATGATTAGGGCCTTTTCTTTATTGTGTTATTATAAATGTGTTTAATGTCACTTTTACAAAGAAGGATCCTTGGTTATTTTTTGAGCAATATGTTGGATAATCAGCTATGGCATTGCAGTGCATAATGCTCTTGGGGTATAATCTGTCAGTTGCTGTGGAAAGTTCAACCCATCCATGGACTGCCTGACATATTATGCTATCCTTTGCTATTAAAATTAAATGAGGCATTGGTTCAACCATTTGACCTCGTCCACCTTCTCAATGTACAGATGAATCAATTACAATCTGAGCTAAGGCTTGCTCGATCTGTGATAGCTGAGAGGGACTCTGAGCTCCAGCGGGTGCGCACCACAAACAATCAGGTACCTCCCATAGATTCAACCCCAGAATGTTTTCAATTTCAGAGTATTATGCTTAATCCTGGATGTTTGTATTAATTCTATTGCTAAAATCCAATGCTTCGCTGAAAGGACAGCATCTTCCTAAAAGATGTTGCTGCTAACAAAGTCCTATTAAAGAATTCCAACTCGTATTTTTAAGTTCGAATGTTGAAGTCTACTAATCGCACTGGGGAGGTGGGACGTTAGAATCTGGACATATTGACCACTATTTCTTTAGAGATTCAGAGCTGACCTCAACTTTTGCACTTCTGTTCTGTTTCATTTTCTTTTGTAAAGGAAAAACTCGTTGGGTGAACTTATTCTGTCTTCTTGTTTCCTTGAAAATTCATGTTCAAAGGCATATACTTATTCTCTCTTCTCGTTTCCATGAAAATTCACGTCCAAATATATGCCCCAGTATTACCATTTACCAAAAGTAGTTTCTTAGAATGACTTATTAGCTTCCCTTCAGCAAAAAAGCAAAGCTGCTGAAATATACGGCAATATACCATTTGCTTACTCTTTTGTTGAAGTTTATAGTCCTGCAATATCAAGGCTGATTTTCTCACAGTAATTCTCAAAGATCGAGTACACAATACCAGTGTAACATATATGCATATGATCATTGCTTTGAGGTTGCAAAATTCCTTGGTACTGCTTTAATTGTTCTACTCTGTTCTTCAAGAAAGAATGTATTCTGATTTCTATCTGTGTTTTGGGATTGCAACTTTTGTGCTTTGATTGATGAAATGCTGGAATAGTATGTGGAAGAGAATGAAAGGCTGAGAGCTATTTTAGGGGAATGGAGCACCCGGGCAGCTAAGGTACTTATCTTTTTCATCCAATGTACCCTTTGTTCTTGTGCTTTGCTTCACCGCTATCGATTACAGTTTTGATGAAGCAAGAAAAATGCTGACATGACCTAAAAAATTGGCATGTTACAGCTTGAGCGAGCATTGGAAGTTGAGCGGATGTCAAATCTTGAATTGCAAAAGAAGATTTCAACATCGAGAAATCAATCACATTTATCAAGTTCAAGTGAGCAGCATAGAACTTGATTGCCCCAGAATTTTCCCAGAACTCTACTCAGCATTTTCTTCTGAAACGTTGTTCATGCTGCATACAGAACACCCTCCATGACAAGCATGAAAGTACTGCCACTACGGTAGCAGATGGCTGAATGTACATAGCAGTTCATTGTGAAGTTTTTTGTTGTACATAACTCGACAGACTTGCGTTAGAGAAGTTATTTAATTTTCTTGTTTGTATGTGGAAAAAAAAAGAGAAAAAAAAACTTACCACTAGAAATGGAGGTGTATCACCAAGATTAAGGGGTGAGGTAGAAGAAAAGGAACTAATCAGACAACAGAACATCTAAGGAAATGGATCAATGTCAATCAATATGGGGCTACCTATTTTGGAAGCTTCTGTCTACGATGTAGCAGTGTGTTATCAAGAGAAATATGTAACGTTTTTGTAGGACATAAATGCAAGCACGCACAATGGAGCTGTCTTAACACTTGAGCCGAATTGAAATACTCACCCAAAATGGCAATATCAGTCATCCTATGCATGATCTAAAAACTAGCCAGCAAATCTCCCCAAACTCAACAGTCCTTTTTAACAATTCAAAGCTACTGACATCCAATGACGAGTTCTCTTATGGAATGAAAACCATTACATTCTCTAATGGTTCGCAATGTCAATTTGGAAATTATGCTGGGTCTTAATTGTCACAGAACAGAACAAAAAATGTGACTAATTCCAAGCTGAAAGTATTATTTTTAAACATACAAGGATAGCTCATCTATGACGACTATAGTGAACAAGAAAAGCAAAACAAAACTTAGTCTTTCATGACTACAATTGTGTACAAAAGAAAATATTTGAGCTGAACTACAATGAGCATACATGTGTAGTCTCGTCAAGAAATAGACAACCAAACACATAATTGTAGAAATCACTACCTTTCACTAGTTCTCCCCCTCCAACTACAGCTTCTGTATCGTACTTGCATGCTCTTGTACAGTCAGGACAGTAAGTGACCTACATACAGAAAATGCTCACACTTCATTATCTCCAAAAAGCCAGGGAAAACTACCTTAAAGCAATCATATTGATCAGCGAAGAAAAAGCTAAAGATAATTGCTGTCTCATTCTGCTGAAGGTTTGATTTTAAACTATGCTTTGATCATTTGATACTAGAAGGAAAGCATCAGAGAACGAAACACATTGGCAACTACAAACCTCCAATAACTTTGGCTGGAAAGAGCTATCAAGCATGACATCCACACCATACATTGCCCTAGATGTTGGACTATGCATCTCTGGATGTAATGTTGCAGCTGCCTCAAAAACAGATCGAATCATATCTCTCACTCTCTCATGGATATCCAACCATTTAACTGCAACACACACAAGAATCTACATTTAATAAACTCTATTATCCAACAGATAAGTTTCTGATTGCGAATAACCCTTCTCTTTAGGAAGGAAAGCAATAAAGTGATGGAGGGTGTCACCTTGGTGCTCCTGTTCAAATTCCTTCACAAACTCTGGTGTGTTCTTTTGATTCAATCTTCCACGATAGTTCTGCAAGTCATTCCCAATTACATCAAACTGAAGAAAGAAATCTCGCTAAGCAGAAATGTTTGATAAAATCCCAACCAATTATGACAACTTGAAGGAACAAATCCTCATTTAATGAAAATGTGGCAAAACGCTATTTTTTTCTTTCCTCCGCATTCCATTTCCAATCCCTTGAAGCATGTCTATAACCAAAATATTTAAGATTTTCAACTTCATTGAAAAAATGGTTAACACATACCATAACAGTAAAGTGGGTCTCGTACTCAAAAAGGCTGTGCTTCTCAAGAGTGTATTGGTTGTTTGCCAACCTAACCTGAAAATAAAGATGAAATAACTATTTGAAGATAGGCATCCTAATAGAAGGAGATTTGAAAATCTGCATCCTATCATATCGGCACCTTAGCAAATCATCAAAGAAAGTTGCATACCCAGAAAACGTCTGCAAGGAACAGTTCCAGAGGCTTCACACTGCGAACCAGTACTATATATCGGAGATCAAATTTCTTGCCTTGAAACAAAGCAGGATGCTCAATATATTTCTGGCATATTTTTGGCCCGGTTTCCATCAGGCGGATAATAGCAGACAAATTATCTGTTACAGTTGTATCAATAGTTCGGGCCATGTTCCATGGTTTTAAGATCCATAGGTTGTTCATTCCATCTCTTTTGCGTACATAATAGTCACCAATAAGTGGAGAGAGATGTGATTCTAAGTTATAAGTAGGCTGCAACCAATCAGGGGATCCATGTGTCTGTTGGAAAAATGGAACTAAAAGTCAAATGATTCTTGCAAAAACAAGTGCAAAGCTTGGTCATATGTTCTGATGTCATGCATAGATACTGAATAATTGGTTAAATAAAAAACTACCTAGGGGAAATGCTATTTCGGGGACACGGCAGGTTCATCCAAGAGTGTAATTAGAAAGAAATTGGTTTGTGTATAATGGGGAGGAGGCAGGTACATAAATTAAAAGCTTAATTCATATATAGTTACATAAATTAGACATCCTTTCTTCTACCTTCTGAATAGTCTCTGCCAAATGATGTTTCATGACAAGACAAGCTTCAAAAGGGAATTGGTTTATATATTGCCGATCTGTAATTTCAGCAGCTTTTTTCACATCATCATCCACCTGCATACTTGTCCATATAATATCTGCATCCTTCAACTCGGTGGCTGTTAACAAAACAAATTATAAGAGAAGTTTGTCAGAGCATGAGAAATAGATACTGAACTTCTATATGTTTTGAGGGAAGGGAATAAAATGAGTGTCTTGCAAAAGGACATTTTGGATCCTAAAATTAGGAATAGAAAAGAAAGGAAAGGATTATTCATCTCATTCTTTGTTATGTGGACTCTACTGGTCTTTATTCGCAACTGATTAGGATTATCCATCCCCTTTTGAACCGTCCTTGGCAAGTTCAGTTGAAGCATATTTATAGCAAAGCTAATAAATGTGCTGATTGGTTAGCAAATTATGCTCGGTCCGTAAGCTTAGGAGTCATGTTTCTTTCTGAAGCCCCAGTTCGTTGTCTTGATCTTATTTTGGAGGATACTTGTGGGGTTGCCACACCTAGATTGTGTCCTGATGTAATCCTAGGGCCTTGCCCTCCTTTGAATAAAAATAAATATAACAAATAAAAAATAAAAAAGGAAAGGAAGGGAAAAGGGGGAAATTAAATCTCGAAATTTCCTTTTTGGTTCGTAAAAACTTCCACCCAAATTGGGAGGAATGCAACCTTCCTTGAACCAAACAAAATTTAATTTCACTCCTTTTCCCTAGCATCTTGAGATTGCCATATAACCTCTAAGTTTCAAAATACATTCAGGTCTTCCCTGAATGATATGCACAGAGTCTTTATTCATACAAGAGAAACCTCGAAACAACTAAGTTTCAAAACTAGGTTGGTTACAACAATCTTTTTGTTCCTAGAATCCAAATAATGAGATCCTACAAAGCTTCCACAGTCTGCCTAGCATCTGCAACCTCCCTTACTTTTCCAAATTAAATTCTGGTTCCATATAAACATAAATAACAATGGCATAGTTAGCATTCCTGCTGAGAAGCGAGAACATAGTATCATTCAACCTTAGGAAACAAATTAAATAAGTATCACAGAATGCAATATTTCACACTGATACCCATATTTTCACAAGCCTAAATATTCTCATAGATCACAGAATTAATGGCATAGCACACCTAAATCAAACAAGTACCAGAGAGAAGCTATCAATCAAACGAGATTAAAACAAGAAAACAGAGAAGAATCATAACACTTACTGATTATAAATTCAGGACGTGTCAAAAATTCTTCCACTTGAGGTAAGTCAGTGTACACACGCAAAGCACATCCATCAGAATGACGCAAGGTTCTACTCGAAGATGACTTCACTGGCAAGGGAGTTGAACTTTTTGATTGCAACTTCTGGTGAAATTTCTCATACTCCTGAACGAAATGGTGCATTTAATACCAATCCAAATAGCAAGTGAGTTTATATTAAAAAAAAAAAAAATAGTTAATACAAAACTAGGAGATAATACCTGAATAAAATAATATTGTGGTGTATGGAAATATGCTGTAAGCCTGGCAGAACGTTGTTTGTCCTCCCCAACACCAAATAGGAAATCACGAGTGCATTCATCTCCATTTTGAACATTCTGGATTGGCCATAATATGGAATAGCTGAAATAAAATTTTCCATGTTAACAGTAGGATTGCATCATTGAGTAATTGACCAGCATTTAAACAAGTTGGAACAATGTGCATTATTTTATCTTTTAATTTCACGATATCCAGCTTATTGTAGAACATGAAAAGACTTTGTTTAATTGCAGTTAAGGCACTAAAGAACTGCAAATGTCAAGTCAAATTAGTGAACCAATACACAAAATCAGCAAAAGAAAGGTAAAAAAAAAAATTGCAGGACAACCTCACAGCAGATTCCAGTTTTCCTTCTGGCATGAACAGAAAAGGAGCCACTCTGAAATTTGGTTCATCACTGTGCCTTAAAGCTGAACCTAGTTCATCCATTACATACCTGCAAGGAATTTCAAAATAAAACACTTATCTATGCCAGATCACTGAACAGATGTGTGCATGCTTGTGCCTAAGTGAAAGCAAAAGAACACCCAATTAATAAAATTTGAACTGAAACGGTTTAAGTGAGCCTCTTAACTCCAAAAAAATTAGCCCTCCAATATGTTTTGACATTTAAAAGTGCGTGGCAATTTGGGCATAAAATAAATGCCAAAGGGAAGGATATTGGACACCATTAAAACAGTTAGTAACAAAGACACAACTATTTTTATTGACTGCTATACATACCATCATCACCATTCACATAAAACCATAAGGTACAATGTCCTTCAGCCTAGCTGTCTTGATATTTCTTAAAATATTCAGATTTTCCAATTCTACGAAAATAGTACATAATTTTCTTTTATGAAATATAGTACATGCCAAGTGATATCTATTTACAATTGCCTCAAAATTCTCTACCTTCATTGGCTTCTTTGTTCTTCCTGAAGCATTCTTTCCTTGTTCTTAAAGCAATTAATAAGAAGAACATACAGCTGTCCTCATACCTTGAGTTCAGATTTTCGACAATTCAACATCAATTTACATGTTTTATGCTTGTCATCATGTTCCTTCTCTCATGACAAAAGGACAAACACAAATCTCTTTTGTAACTTAAGCTTTTGAACATAATAACGCCACATGCAAAAACTTTTAAAATTGTGAAGATATTTATGTAGCTAAAGCTGATCGAACATCAACAAAGTAAGAAAAACAGGCACCAAGTTATCACTTGCTAAAGACACAAACACATACCACACAGAGGTTTCATCAATTTTTTCCTCATCTGCAAGTCTATATGTCATCAAATATAACCACATTGCATTAATAACACGATCAGCAAGAGGTTCGTCAGCTGTCCATTCAGGAAGGCGTGGCTGAAGTATCGAATCAATTACATGATTTCCAGTTTCTATTATTTTTGATCTATTGATGCCATTCAGCAGAGAAAGATTGGGAAGAGATTCAAGAATTTCTATGGCACTATCTCCTAAGGGTCCAGGTAAATCCACCTGCAAAAAGAAGAAACAAAAATCTTAAACCAAACCATCCCTTGCTCATTTCAAGCATTTTTTTCTTTTCTTAGAGTTGCTTCAAAAAGAGTACCTCTAAAGATTGTAAACAAGGAAACCCCTTCAATACTTTGAACAGTTCACTAACTGAATTCTGCTTCAACGGATTTCCTCGAATATTCAGATGCGAAAGAGAAGGCATCTCAACGGGAGAAAATGACTAAAGCAAAGTGGAACACAATTGCATTAGCAGTGAAATGTCTATCAGATTATCAGTTCATAAGTACCAATGCACATGAACAATAAAAAATTTTCAGCAAAGGGGGAAAAAAGCACACATTTTGGCATGTGAAATTTTTTAACTTTCAGAACTGAGATACAGAGAATGCAAATGGAAAGATTAAGTCTATTGATGAACTATAACTTTCACAAATAAGGCATGAAGCAACAACTCAATATAGAAAGAAAATTGTGGACCTTATTAATGAGAGAATGAATACTTCTGTTTGAAAGTTCGAGAGATGTCACACTCTGCAATGGATGGTCATTCTGATGGATAGAGCATGGATTATCCTTCCCATATACTCCTCCAGAAAATCCCAATGCCCACTCGCCAAAATTACTGGTGTAACATGAGTTGTAGATTTCGAGTCCTGGACATCCCTTGAAAATTGTATCTGGCATACAACCATCACTGAGATAAAATATATCAGTCATCTCTCAGTGGCAAAAGACTAAGGGGGGCTTCAAAGAATGAAGATTGTCTTTTTCACACATCAGCATACATACCAGTTTTCTAGAACTGGATTGTTATTCAGCCAGAGAGCCTTTAGGTTTTTCAATTTGGTAACTTCCTGCACAACGATTTCAACATTCTCGAGCTTGTTTCCATATAGGCTAAGTGCTAGTAAATCCTAATAAAACAAAAGACAGGAGTAGATATTGAGCTTTGCATGATCAAAAAGATTCTAAGCACAGACACACACACACAAAAGAGAGAGAGAGAGAGAGAGAGAGAGAGAGAGAGAGAGAGAGAGCAGACACTGCCACCTCCTAAGCTTTTATAGCAATGTATATTTTAAATAAGATGATCACATCCAGAGTATTTCTTTAAACTAGAGATATTGATTCTCAAACAATTTCCGTGATAAATGTGCTTTCCCATAGTAAAAGACAAATAACCAAAGACAATCATGGTCACACACCGGAAATTTACTAGACAAATCCAGGGAGAGAAGCATGTCATCATCAATGTCAAGATCATCAAGCTCCAACCACTTAACAGTGTCATAGCCTCTCTCCTTTGCGTAACTAACTTCATTCTCAACAATGTCCGTGACATTCAATTTCGAATTGTTGTCTCCTGAAACTTCATCCCCATCCATCTCTTCTGCATCGGAATTTGAATCAATATCCACACACATCAAAGCAGCCATTCTCTGAGCCAACCCTGGCACTTCTTGAAGCTGCAAAGACTCACAGACTATCAAGTTTCAGTAATGAAAACTAGCAGAAACCATATCCTATCACGAAAACAAGAAATTTCTCCAGTCCAGATAAAATAAGATCTAGAATTTTTAGCAGCAACCTTCAATAAAGAAACTTCCATCAAGCAAGTATTAGTAGGCAAAAATTCCAAATGAATTTGTGTGGCCAAAACTCTTAGAATAACCTTCAATTACAAGTTTTTAGTACCCAAAAACCACAAAAGAATACGACGGGATGATCATCATCATTTCTCAAAACCATCACATTTACTCAATTTCAAAAAGCTTAAACAATTGCTACATCATGCAAATATGACTGCACAAAGCTCCTCAATTCTAACTTCATTTTATCTGGGTTGTTTCGTTCTCTAACAACACAAACAAATCAAAGCATCCAGTAGATAAAGAAAACATTCGCATTAGATTGGCATCACTTGACTAAAAGAAAATAAGATAAGTACAAAATTAAGTAGATAATACTTGTTTATAAGCATCGGAAAGGCGAAAAGTCCAGGCGTGGTCAATGAGAAAAACATTGGAGTCTTTGGGCATGGTGGCGGCAGAGGTGAGGAGGAGGCGCCTCTGACGGCCATCCTCGCATGGGTCGACTTGGAAGTAGGCGCCGCCATCGAAAGTCTCGGAAGTAAGTTTATCAAACAGTTTGCGGTGCAGCGTACGAGGTAGTCCTGAGGATGCTAAAAGAATGCCGTGAACCTTCACGAAGTCCTCGTAGGTTTGTATTTTGGTCATTTTACGAGTTTCTCTGTGTAATTTTCTAGTACTGGACTGGAGAGTGAGTATGTGTCTACGCTGCTTGTCTCCAGTGAGGGAGGCTTGAGCCTTTCGTGGCGTTTTGTTTTCAAGGGCTTTGGAGGGACGTCTCGCAAGGCCGAAATAGCTATCTTTGAGAATTTAAAAAAAAACTAAAAGAAGTGAGGTGTTGCCTATTCACTTACTGTTGCTCAAGACTCATGTTTACTGTTGTTGAAGACTCAGTTGCACTGTTGGTTATCTTTCCTTCGATCTTGACGCTTGATTACAGTTAGATCATTGTTGGCCGTTTGATGTCTATGTTATTGTCTGCCTTATTGTTTGTTTCTCTTGGTGTTTTTTAGTTTCGCCTCTCTTCCTTCTCAGTTATTTCTGTTTTGCCATTTGTTTCTTTGCTTTCGTTTCCCTCTTTCTTTGGTCATTTACGTCTCTGCCCCTCACGCTCCATGCTTTCGTTTCCCTCTTTCTTTTCAATCCCGTGTTTTCCTCCCTGTCTCTTTCATTTTTTCCCTCTCTGCTCCTACCTTCGGTCGTCCCTTCACGATCGATCGGACATCTCATTTAATGATTTGGTACTAATTTGTCTTAGGTTCTTTGTCCATTGACATCTCTGTCCCTAAAGTCATCTCTTTTTCTTTTTTTCCTCTTTTCCCTACGGGTTTTTTTTGTAATCGCATTCTTTTCTTTGTTCATCGCTGCAACTTGCTCATTTAATGTGATTGTACCTTTTCTTTTTTCTGAGATTTTTTCGTTTCTCCTTTGTCCTTTGTTCAACCACTTCCTTTGAATCGACATGGAGATTGTGGTGTTTTGGGACGAGATTGATCCATGTTTTTCTCGATTTCACGCGACATGCACCACAGTAGCTGCTTTCCGCACCTTCCGCAAAAAAGATAAGAGCACCTTCCTTCTTTTTGTACATCCTGTTTCTCTCGCGTGCTCTTATGATTTTCGATTTCTTTATTTTACTGTGCTCCTCTGATTTCCCCTACAACTTCTTATATTTATATCACGTTTGGCCTATGACTTACATTTTTGCATTGATGTTGGTTCTTCTTTCTAATCAGGATCTCATTTTTGCCTCTTTCTTGCTTCGTCGTTTGCCTCTGATTGTTCTCGCAAATGCTTCAGGTTATTATCCCTCTGTATTTCTTTTTGACTGCTTTATGTCTTTTCCTTCCCTGCTCGGTCTGTTAGGTCCTATTTATGGCAAGTATGTTCCTCTTCCACACCCTTTCTTACGTTATTGTTTTTTTTTCCTGTCTTTCCTTATTGCTATATATTAATCTTTCAGATTCTTTCTATATAGGCTTTTGGTCTTGCCTACCAGAAGCTTGCCATACTTTCTGCTGCTCCTAAGGTGCACTTCTTTTATCTGACTGCTTTACTCTCTTGGGGATTTTTGTTGTCAAATTAGTAATGCCTTAAATCATCGATTGTCCAGCTTATTACAAACATGTTAACCAGTCCTATGGATGAGCCATTGAGTTGGAGGATACAAGCATTTTTTGCTCTCATTCAAAGTGCAAATATCTTCTTGGTGCTCGGTAATTTCTGAGAGGTATTCTTTCTTTTTTTAATTTTCCACAGTTGGACAACTGAGGATTTTTATATTTACAATGCTTGGTAATTCATATTCATATAATGTACCTTAAGCTGGAGCATGGACACACATAGGCCTTTCAAATTGATGGCTTATGACATCTTTTATTAGAATGGAATGAGTCGAGACTTTTTAACTGACAAATTTATAAAAAATACTCTTTAACTTCATTTTCACTTTAATTTCATCTATCAGTGTTTCTTTTATCCAAATATCAATATGAGATTAATTTGGTTTAATTAGTTTTTTGAAAAAATCAAAATTTTGGTGGAGCAGGCCGTAGATCATCCGATCTTGCAAACTCAGTGATTTTGTAAACATATTAGATGAAATCTTTCATATCCCATATATCTAAATTTGGATTTTAAAGTTAAGAAATAAGACTCTGAAATCAAAACACTTAAAATGAAATAAGATTAAATTTAAAAATATGAAAAGATTGTTTTTATTTTGCGTAGTTTAAAATCTACGAAAATTTTATTTACAAGCATCATTTAAATTGCAAAATAAGATACATAGTTGAAATAACATGATATGTTTTATGCATTATATAGGCTACTGCTGACTTGAGGTCATTGGAAGGCTACACATCTTAAAGGATTCTACAAGCAGTAAGTATATTTATGTTTGCAATTATGTTGAACAATTACTATCTATTAATTAATACTCTATCCATGTTACAATGCTTTATCACATGATATTGAATAATCACTTTTGTAATGAATTTCCTATTTTAAAGTTAAGGGATCTTTTCAGATAGAAGCAGCCTGAAGTCTGAGCCAGATGGGGTTTCGATTTGGGTGGCTCTGAAGAGGGTTTTTATATATGGGTATGTTGCTTATTTAACATTTACATAATTTTGTATATATTCGTGATCATAGCGTTTCCGTGAATTTTATATCTTCTTCAAGCAACTGCATTTTATTGCCATATTAATGATTTTTGAAGAGTGACTTTGTGGTAATTAATTAACTGTTGCTCTGCCTCTCTGCCTCTCGGTTTGTGTGTACCAACTTTTCAGAAACTCCTTGGGTAAGTTTCTTGGCCTTTTGTTTTTCTCATTTTTCTTGTTTTTTTTTTTTTTTTTTAAATGGGATCATCGTATAAGAAAATTGGAGCTAGCTTTGATTTTTTGTAACTATTGTTGGTAAAATTGTGAATTTCCTTTTTGTTATTTTTTTAGTTTATTGTATATTGCTTGACTACCTATCTTTTTTGAAGTTGATTTCTTTGTCAGATTTATTATTGTTAGGATAACACTGATGTCAATTTCTTTATCAGACTATCTGTCTTCTTTTACTATTGTTATTTTCCACAATGTAATGAAATGCCATTACAGATTTGTTGGAATATAAGAGACGTGGTTCTGATGGAGCCTTCGTATAGGTTTTTTTGCGCAAGTCAATGCAGTAGAGAACAAACCATTTTATTTCTTACATGCGGTGTATGGTAAGTATGGTTTAACTTGCATATATATATATATATATATATATATATATAATGTGTATGATTTATAAACAAATATTTTATGAAAAAACATATGGTGTCAATATATATTATTAGTTTACAAGGGCTGGTTTGTTTATCGATTTGTATTCACATACATATTTTATTGAGAGATTTGACTCTTTTGAGGATAAAGCAACACTAAACCCCACGTACTGGTGATACATTATAGTTTTATGCATAAACTCATCAAGGCACCTAATGTTGTTTTAATGATTATAGGTTGGAGTGAGGATTAAGGTGGTGTCAAGTACACTTGGCAGTGTTGTGATGGCTAAAGCAAGGCAAAACGAGGCCAACTGTGTTGTCCTGGACAAGTAATTACACATAAAAAAAGAATTCTTATTTCTAAGTTACTAATATAGTAATTGGTTTGTCAGTATTGAGTCGTATGCTCTTCTGTTTCCTTTGGTCAGCAGTATTAATTTTAGCCATGCTTCATAGAATTCTATTGAAGTTAAAGGTAACCAATCATTGTTAGATTATGTTTGATAAATGACACTACTAGGCAATTTTATCCTTGGGTTCCTGTCTAATCCCACTTAAATTGGTTGGTTTTGTTTTTTCAATCCTATTCCTATGGTATTGAACACCACAGTCTTGTCCTGATGATGCTTGATTGATATTTGCTCTTGGAAAATGATAGAAGTTTGGATGCTAAATGATACTATTATTGCTATTGATCTGAATGTTGGTAGAAATTCGAATAATTTCCAACTGTATATTGATAAAATAAATGTGTTGTGTTTTTATTTGGCATATGATAACAATGAAGAAAAGTTTTAAATACCAAGAACTTTTATAACTCCCAAGTTACAGAAATTTTCATCTTTTGGTTAACTTAGGACTACATGCTTGATGAGTTTCAGTTGTGTTATTAACATGGTGCTAGCATTGCATCTTGACAGGCGTGTAAACTTTTGTTTTGCTAAATTTTGTGGTTTAACTGCTCACGTAAAATTAGTGGTTTTGTCAACCACAATGATAATCATAACTATATATAATAAACCAATAATGTTTCGTTATTCACTTCTTACCACACTAGATTTAAAATTAAAGCTTCGTTATTATCATGTCTTATTCTTCTAATATAGAAAACTCAAGCAAGAGCTTAAGCATTGCATAGAGGAACTTCACTGCAACATTACTATAATGAAAGGTTCTCAAGCAAAAGTTCTTAGGCTTAACTTAGGAAGCTCGAATGAAGTCCAAGCCCCATTCTATTCTGCTGCTGCTTCACCAGGAAAGGATGTTGGAAGGCTGCTAGGTCACAAGATGAATCATTCCACTCCTGTGAGCAGCCCTGAAGAACCAAGTACTTCTTACTCAAAAACTAGAGAAGGTTCATCCTCACCAAGCTATGATACGGAAAGACCTCTTTTTCTTGGGTGTTTTAAATAATCAAGCATTGGTTATATTTCTTTCACATAAGTAGCATGCATTCATCTGAATAGATATTAATTAATTCTTGGATATTTTACAATGAACTTCTGTATGGTTGAGTTATGTTTTTGTCATAATAAGGTGGGGGAGATCAGGAATATGAATCTAGCCTTACAAAGTACAGTTGTTTCTTTTGATGAGGAAAAAAAGGTACAATTATTTCCATCTATATTTTTTTTATTTATCCATTTTTCACTTTTGTTTTGCTTAAGTTTTCTCTTGCAGACAAAGATTCTGGTGAGGGGGCAGCCATTGAACATATATTGAATATTGAAAAAATAAGATAATGCCATAAAAATTATTTTACAAATAAATTTTTTATAATTAAATTTCCTAACATATATATATATATATATATATATATATATATATATATACACACTTTTAAAATTATAATTATTTAAGACAATGTTCGTCAAATAAACTATATTGATATTGTAATTATAAGTACGTTAAAAAAAAAGGTAATTAAAATAAGTGACGTTCTATTTACTTTTAGCAAATTTCATAGCGTTAACAATTAGTTCTTTTTACGCTTTCTTAATGATGGTGAACATACATATTAACATAGCACGCCAAAATGGTGGACCGACCAACAATTACGAAATCGAAAAAACTTATCTCACAAAATAATAGTATAAAGTTTTTTTTTTAATTTAATATATTTTAGTTGGTCAATAATGTAATACATATTATTAAATTAAATAAATATATTTAATTCAGTATGTTATATAGAGTTGGAAGTAAAGTTAAAAAAAAATTAAAAGAATTGAGATGTCTACTATTATTTTTTGCTATTTTAGGGTTAAATTCATTATTTATTGTTACTTGATTTTTTGCTTCTTAACTTTTTGTTAATTTCTTTTTTGTCATTCGAATGGATTTGAAAAACTCTATTTTTATCCTTAACTGATTCTCTCTTTCATTTTCTTTTTAGTCTTTTTTTTGTCATTTCTTTTGTTGAGCATTTAAAGGTTCTTTCTTTTTTTAATGTTTTTTTTCCTTCTTATTTTTCATAAGGGAAGCCAAACCCACTTGCTATTCAAGAGTAAATTATAAATTAGTCCCTCTTTCTTTGAGAAACAAATTAGTTAGTCCTTTTGGTTGAAAAACTATTTTTTTTTGTCCTTTTTAATTTATTTTTATTTTTTGTTTTAAGAAATAGAGAAAAAAATAAAAGAATAAGTAAAAATATGAAAAAAAATATATTTTATCAAATAAAAAATACATTAATTGTAGAAAAAATTGATTAAAAAATTATTTTTAAAACCAAAAAATTAATTAATTAATTAATTTCTCAAAATAGGATGAACTAATTCATAATTTAATTTGTAATTCAAGAATCTCTTTCATCGTAAATTAAGAAGTAAAATTTATGAGAACTAATTTTATAATAGTTTTTATTTTGATTTATTGACTTTAATATATTCCATACAACTTAGATGATTTTTTGTTAAAAAAATATTTATACTATATACTTGAATCAATTAAGTGTGATCATAATATATTATTAGTTTTGTTAAAAATTAATTATCTATCTTTAGTTTTGTTGAAAATTAATTACGTATCTATACACACAACATTAATTATTAATTATTTATTTTTTTCATATTCTAAAAGCTATTTTTGTAAATAAAATAATTTAATTAATGTTTTGAAAAAACCTCTTAATTATTCAAGTATAATTTTTTATACTAATGTTATAAATTATTTTGTTAATAAATATATATAAATCAAATAAGTTCGCTCAATATATAGATTCGATTTATATTAATCTTCATAAACAAAATATCTACTTGCATCATATCATACGATTCATTAACTCCGCATATATAATGGTTCTCCCCGCAACGTAACGTCGCTTGCATCTCTTTTTTTCTTTTTTTTTTTTTGGACTGGCCTTCTCTCTCGTTTTTTTTTATTAAGATTTGGACTCGTCATTCATTGTGGCGATACCATTTTTTTCTCTTTTAACGATCGACTTCCTTTTTTTTAAACGAAAAATTAATAATCGGTTAAAAAATTCAAATGTTTTATTTGATATATATATATATATATATATATATATATATATATATATATATATATATATACATATATATATATACATACTCGTATAGTTTTGTCATATATAAATTCGATGAGTGAGAGAGAGAACTAAAAATGTGTTTTAAATAATTTGACCTTTTTTTTAAAAAATGATAATTAGTTAAAAAAATAATTATGCTCGTTTCTTTCCGGAAAAATAATAATTAGTTAAAAAATTCACAACTTTTATTTGATTTTGTATATATATAATCGAATTTACCAAAACTAATTTTATATTGGTTTTTATTTAAATCTATTTATTTCGATATATTCAATGCAATTTAGGTGGGTTTTTTTTTTATATTTACTTTTTATTTTATTTTATATACTCTAAATCGTATACATATATATATATATATATATATATATATATATATTTGTTAAAAATTAATTATATACGCACACATAACATCAATTATTTGTTATTTATTTTTTTCATATTCTAAAATCCATATTTTAAAATAAAATAATTTAATTAATGTTTTGAAACAACCTCTTAATTATTCAAATGTAAATTTTTTATACTAATATTATAAATTATTTTGTTAATAAATATATATAAATCAAATGAGTTCGCTTAATATACACATTCGATCTATATTAATTATTAAAAATAAAACTTTCTACTCATATTACACTATACGAATCGTTAACTCTATATATGTAATGGTTGTCTTCCCGCGACATAGCGCGGGTACCTAACTAGTGTTTTCTAAAGTATAATTAAAATGCGGGTAAATGGGTCAAATTTATGAATTTTAAGTTATTTAAAATTAAGTTTTTAAATTTCATATTTAGTTTTTAAAGTTTATACTTTTTTGAGATTTAGTTTATTTAATAATTTTTAGTTATCATATTTTTTTTAAAAAATTTAGTTCTTGATATTTTGAGATAAAGTTTTGCATACATAGTGAAAAGAATTCATTTTCCGAAGAAATCTAGAATTTTTTAAAATTAGAAAGTATATTTGTTTAATTTTTGAATATTAAAAACATAGAAAATCGAGAATAATAAAAATAACCTAGAAAGATCATAAATTTTTTAAGAAGTCACGTATAAATCACATTGGATGATTTTCATTATGAAGCTATTAATGTAATTGCTATTTTTTAGAATAAATGACAAAAAACTAAATGGTGGACTAAATCTCACAAAATTAAAAGTTCTAGGGATCCCAAAAACTAAATTTGAAGTTCAAGGACTCAATTTTAAATAAGTTAAAATCCGGAGGAGATTTGATCCATTTAATCTTAAAATGACTCCAAATGTTAAATTTTTATTATGCATAGATAATTAGCCATAATTATCTTTTTATGGTATTAGGTTTGGTCTAATAGCCGACCTAGTGATCAATTAAAGTTTAGGTGTGTTCTAGTGTCGGCTTAACTCGAGAAGTTGTAGATTTAGTCTCGGTTGATATGAAAGCTAATTCGATGGTAACCCATTATAAGTAAATATCAATATCAATATCAATAACAATAATCGTTGGGAAAGGATAGGGAATTAAGTGAAAAGATTCGTCACTTAGTATTAAGGAATTAGGAAACCCAACATGACTAATCGCATAAATATTTAAGTAAATGGTTAGTTACATATAGGGAAGATCAAAATCGACACTAACTAGTCCTATTTGAGATAGACTACATTGCATGCATTTGAAAAAATAAATTTGGTTTTAATACGTTATAGGTACTATGCCTATTCGAGTGAATTTATCTTATTGGAATGGTATTGAAATTAACAAAAATGAAAACAAGATGATATAATGAAAATAAGGTGCGTGAGGACACAATTTAAGAGGCGTGTAAGGATATAGTTTAAAGAGGTGTGTGGAAACATGACTTAAAAAGGTGCATGGAGATGCGTCTTAAGGAGGAGTGTGAAGACATGACTTAAAGGGATGTGCTAAGACATGGCTCAAAAGGATGCGCTAGGTTGCAAATCAATGGGAGATACACATCATATCCGTATATAATATTCATTCATGAAAAACAAGATGTTAACTTTATGGTTGACACTAATTACATCATCGGATACACACACATCACATTTTCACCTCTCATTTGTTCATGCAAAACACACCATCCTACAAGGTTGGCATTAATAACTTCATCACATACATATGTACACCTATCATTTCATCATATACACACATATCATATTTACACATCACATTTAATAGACTATCCCACATAGGTAATATAATACGAAACATCACATTTAACCTATTACATCTCACAAGCAACACAATATATTCAATTGCACATATTAAGACTGGTAGTTTCCTTGGATGAATCATTAGAATTAAAACTCATGTTTAGTCCTCCTAGCTCCATCCCAAAGCATTGAACACCAATCTTATTTCTCTTAAAAAAGACCCAAACTCTTAGACCCTTTCGATGTGACACATAACAACGTAACTTAATCATATTTCAAAATCTGCATTTATACGATAAATACACATTTATTTATAATATCCGTTCATGCGAGATCTAAGCCTACCAAATTTGTGAAAGCAATGTAAATATGTTGAAAAATTACTTCATTAGACTCCATATGAGATATGGAAAGGAAAGAAAACAAATTTATCTTTCTAAAGATTTTAGGTTGTGAAGCATACAAATGTTTAGATGGAGATAAGCTAGAGCTAAAACAATGAAGTATAAAATTATGGGATATCCAAAAGAAACAAATGGATATTACTTTTACCAAAAAATAAAAGGTGTTAATGGCTAGGCATGCTTGTATTCCACGAGAAGGAATTTATAGATGCTAGAACTAGTGGACGAAAAGTTGAACTTGAGGAGGTTTGATAAGGCTCACAAATTGACATTCCATTCGTGGAACCCGAATAGAAAGATTACTAAGTG